ACACAAATTTCTAATCAGCCAATCACATGGCAGCAGCTCAATGCATTTAGGCTTGTTGACATGGTAAGGACGATCTGCTGCAGTTCAAAACGAACATCAGAATGAGGAAGAAAGATGATTTAAGTGACTTTAAACGTGGCATGGTTGCTGGTACTGTTGAAAATACATGCTGAGTATTTCAGAAACTGCTGATCTACTATGATTTTCACGCACAACTGTCTTTAGGATTTACAGAGAATGATCTGAAAAAAAGAAAATATTCAGTGAGCAGCAGTTCTGTGGGCACAAATGCCTTGCTGATGTCAGAGGTCAGAGGAGAATGACCAGACTGGTTCCAGCTGATAGAAAGGCAGTAACGCAAATTACAACTGAGGTCTGCAGAAGAGCATCTCTGAACGCACAACACATCCAACCTTGAGGCTGATGGGCTACAGCAGCAGAAGACCTCACCGAGTGCCACTCCTGTCAGCTAAGAACAGGAAATTGGACAACAGAAGATTGGAAAAACGCAGCCTGGTCCGTTGAGTCTCGATTTCTGCTGCGACATTTGGATGGTAGGGTCAGAATTTGGTGTCAACAACATGAAAGCATGGATTCATCCTGCCTTGTATCAGCGATTCAGGCTGGTGCTGGTGGTGGTGTAATGGTGTGGGGGATATTTTCTTGGCACACTTTGGGCCCATTAGTATCAATTGAGCATCGTGTCAACGCCGCAGCCTACCTGAGTATTGTTGCTGACCATGTCCATCCCTTTATAAACACAGTGTACCCATCTTCTGATAGCTACTTCCAGAAAGAAAACACGCCATGTCCTTAAGAATGAATCATCTCAGACTGGTTTCTTTAACATGACAATGAGTTCACTGTGCTCAAATGGCCTCCACAGTGACCAGAACTCAATCCAATAGAGCACCTTTGGGATGTGGTGGAACAAGAGATTCACATCATGGATGTGCAGCTGACAAATCTGCAGCAACTGCGTGATGCTATCACGTCAATATGGAGCAAATTATTTGAGGAATATTTCCAGTACCTTGTTGAATCTTTGCACGAAGGATTAAAGCATTTCTGAGGACAAAAGTGGGTCCAACCAGGTACTATTAAAGTGTACCTAATAAAGTGGCTGGTGAGTGTATATTTTTGCATGTGTATATTTTCTTTTAAGAAACAAAACATTTTATGATTTAAACAAGACCAAACAACTGTCAATGGGTTTAAATGTTCTGAGCCAATTTCCCAGAACTCAAGACCTATGTCAAATAATATTTTTTTTTCCCTGAAGTTAATGTAATTTAAGCAAATTCCTTTTGCAATTGTAAACAACATAATAAAATATAAAAGAACAAAATAGTTTCAGTCTAATATATTTGTTAAATAATATAATGATGATCATTTGGAAGGTTTTAAACTTTAACAATTTGCTAATAAATGTAAACTTTTTCACCTAAAAAAAATGGTTTTTTTTATTATTACAATAAGGTTTTTAAAAATATGTTAAATTAAAAATGGGCAGAAACCAGCTACTAAATTAGTCAGGAAACATTATTCCGCCAGCTGTTTTAAAATAGTATAAAAAATTACACACACTAACCTTAAAAAATAACTGACATTTGGGAGGAAAGTTAACTTGTGTCTGAATAACAATAGTCACCTCTCTGAATAAGGCTGTATAGCCTATTTGTTATTTTATTTATTTATTTATTTTATCGCACAAACCATCAGGAACATACAATATAAAATACAGAGATTAACAATATATTCAAGACATTTATTGGATTTGTTTTTATAATAAAAATCATATATATTTTAATGTAAAAATAATATTTTAAATAAATTTTGTCACTTTGAAACTATAATTTTCTAGATGTTTACAACGCTACGTTCAAAAAAGAAATGACAAAGGCTCTCTTTATATGCATTACAGAAACTACAGATGTCCTCCATTTGAATGTACTATGATAAAGATTTTACTGGGTAAATTGCATGTAGTGTTTTAAAATGAATTTCCTTAATTTTATTATTAATAGTGTATTTAAAGAGAGTTTAACATGCTCTTTCAACTATAATAGAGTTCTAGAGAAAATATGCCTCAAGGAGTAAATTTATTTTGCTTCTGAGTAATATATATTATATTATATTTTTGTGATTATATTTGTATCAGTTAACTCAACACCTTAATTTTGGATGTACAACAGACAGGGAATTATAGAAAATGTGATTTTGACAATTGAATAATGTTAACAGAGATAGATTTGATGATACCTTAAATTCTCTAAACAGTAGAGAAATTGTTGATAGACCCAAATTGTTCATATAGAAAGGTTTAAGATAATTAATATCTCTAATAAACCAATTTAATAAGAATAAATGTTTATTTGAAGAGGTTATTTTCCGTTGTTCCAAATAAAAGAGGTGTGAGGAGAACATTTGTGAGGGCAGGCTAACACATTTTCCATGCAAGAAGAGCTTGAGCCTATCTGTTAGTGTTGATAATCATACCCGAGCTGCTGACGTTATGGCACCTGCTCATCTAGTTGTCTGTTTGACATCTCAACGAATTTTATGCAAAGTGTTCATCTGTCTTCCCTGATGACGCGTTCGGCCTTTCACTCCGACTGATGTATTCACGCCAACAGATTTGTACAGATTTGTTTTTGTCAGCGCTGGCCTGAAATGAAGTATTCGAGGAGTGAGGCCCATTATAATACACAAAGGTGGTCTTTATGACATCAGTTCTCGAGTTGTGACACAACAAAGGGCACGTCAAAACCGTTTGTCTTCATTTGCATAACGTTTCCCTCAGGAGAGGAGCAAATCCTTTAGCCGTCACTTCCCTGCTCATCTACATTTGAAGTGTCCCCGTGAATGACGACAGATGCGGCCTTTAAACCCGTTAAAACGGATAATAAAGCTGTTTGGTTGCGTCTCATCTTCCATCAATTGGCTCCTGAGAAAAGCGCCATTTTGTTATAGTCGATATCGATCGGAACCTGTTTTTAATTCATGGTTGTTAAATTTAAGGCAGTTAGGAATTACACATTATAGTTTGGTCAGTTTTATAATTTACAATATTCATTTATTCACTCATTTTCCTTTGTCTAAGGCCAAGTCCCTATGAGTCACCGCCACACCAGAATGAACCGCCAACTTATCCATTATAGGCCTATTTTTTACACAGTGGATGCCCTTTCAGCTGCAACCCAGTACTGGGAACACACTCTACAGCCAATTTGGAGCTGTAGAGCACCTGACACCCAGCCGGGACTCGAACCAGCTACCTTCTTGCTGTGAAGCGACAGTGCTAACATTGTCGCCCTAATTTTTTTTTTACATTATTGATCAAAATTTTACATTTATGTGTAAATAAAGCTGGGACTGCGTGTTTGTTGTAGGTTTGCCAAAGAAAACCCGTAGGACTTGGTGTTAATTACCTCAGATATATTGTTTTTACCGCCTGTGTGTGTGAATGATGATTAAGTGAGCTATTATGGCAACAGTGATTAAGGTGTGTGTGAGAGAGAGAGCGCGCAGTGAGTGAGCGCGCATCTGTCCTCTGCGCGCACTTTAGCTTGCAAACCGAAAACACGGATATAAATCCACTCTGAAACAAGGATCTCTTTTAAATGTCAGGAGATTTTTGTCACATACATAATTCTTAGGCTTATATATGTGACCTTGGACCACAAAACCAATCATATGTTGCATGGGTATATTTTAGTAAAAAGCAAAATAAATAAATAAATAAAAATTAATGGGTGAAAACTATTGCTTTTTTTTGTCATGTTCTACTATGATATTTGGTACATTTTCTAAATCATGACTTTAGGCTATGTTTGGTTAGTGGTTAGTTAGCATTGCTAAAAATTTGAACATCTTCGAAGGCAAATTTTTCATAATTTATATTTTTCTAACCCTCATATTCCAGATTTGCAAATAGTTGTACCCAAATATTGTGCTACTCTAACGTACCATGCATCAATGGAAACTTATTTATTCAGCTTTCAGATTTGAAATCTCAATATCCCAAATAAGTAGTCCTTGCCTACGTTGAAAAAAACTACGGCTATGGCTGCCAAACAAAAACCATAAAATTACGGTAAATTTTTACTGACTAAAATGTCAGTAATTTGTCATTAATGATAAAGTACATAAAATCAGTCAAACTGTCACACACTAGTCAAACTGTTAATTTAGACAGATTGTTTGTCATTTTACTAAGTTTTGAATATAATTTAAAACGACAAAAATTTACTGTAAAAAGTTTAAAGAGATTTTCTGTAAAATTAGTTTTTTTTTCAGTGTACACTTATGAATTTTGTGGTAGCAAATAGACCATGATAAGTAGGCCTTTAACCAGCAAAAAAAGAATAAAATATTGTCCTATAAACTGTGATATTATATAGAGATAAAAATATATTAATAAAAAAGAGAGCTGTATACAACAAATGATGTCTATTGTGTATTGTGAGCCAATAATGCACAAAGTTAGACATTTGAGTAAATTCTATTTAGTATTTTAATAAAATAATATTATATTATAATATATATATATATATATATATATATATATATATATATATATATATATATATATATATATATATATATATATATATATATATATATATATATATATATATATATATATATATAATGTGTATGTGTATGTATGTATGTATGTATGTATGTATGTTGTCAAAATTATAATAAGCTATTTGTCAAGCCTCAAACCTACTTCAGAAGCATAATGGCATATGTTTTTTTGTTTTGTTTTTTGCTCTAAACAAAGATAAAAACACTCGTTGGAACATAAAGAGAATGAGTAAAGTATGACATTCGTTTTGGACTAATCATTTTCAAATGCCATAACAGATTTCCCCCCGATCATCTTTTCTCAGTCCGGTTTCTGATGCTCCATGTCGTGTTTGTGAGAGGACTCTCGGGTGCCTCTTGAGAGCATCGAGTGTGTGTATTTAGGCTAATGCCTTTGATTCAGTAACAGTTGATTGAGAGTGCTCTCTGCAACAGGACGGAGAAACATTTCTTCAAGTCCGGCGTCTACTTCGCATCGGTTTTTGGCAAATAGTACAACAGTGCTTCGATTCAACAGCTTTATTTTGTGCCGTGTCTATTTAGATATAGATGGTAAGCTAATTTATGCAAGTTATAATAAAAAAAGTATTAGTTTTTTTTTCTCGTACTGGATTCGCAACACCAACGTAGACAATTTTTCCTATAAAGGTAAGTTTACAAATAAGTAATTTAACAACTGAAATACTAATGTAATGTATTACATTACTTATATTTTCTAAATGTAAAGTGATGTCTAAATGGTTAGTTTGAACTTTGTAGGCTAAGTTACTTGAATCTGATGAATACAAGATTTTTTTCTATAAAAAGTAAGCTTTTAGAAATCTATCTATCTATCTATCTATCTATCTATCTATCTATCTATCTATCTATCTATCTATCTATCTGTCTATCTGTCTATCTATCTATCTATCTATCTATCTATCTATCTATCATATTGCAATTTCTCTCTAATAGTCAAAGTTTATAATCCAGCCAATGTTTAAATAGTTTATGTCAGCAACTTATGTTAACAAATTATGGTAAGAAGTGTTTAACAGTCAATTTTAACGCAAACAAGATAGAAAGCGAATTTCCCTTGCGTTAAAATGTTCTTTTCATCCAAGGGAATTTTTTTATTCCCTTGAATGAAAATGTCCGCGAATTCGGGGCAAACTGGACTGTTAAACAGACAACACTTACCCACATCATCTCACTGGTTAGTGAAGGAAGTGTGCAGTTATCTGTCTTTCACTAGGCAGATAGAGAGACTGATACCCTGGAAAACGCTCAACAGTTTGAATGACAATACATTATTTATTGTCTGTTGTGTTGTCTTGTTGGAGATAGTGTAAATCCAACAAATTAAACTGACTAGTCCAACATAGACGTGAGGTTTTGCAGATAACCGCAGTTCAGTTTTACATTCGTCTTGGTCTAATTAAGTCGTGGGCTTCACTATGTTGTGTGTGTGAGTGACTGCTTCCAGGCTATGAATAATGAATACAATGAGCTAAACACAAAGATCTGGAGATGAATGCCCCACAGCTGAGATGAGCTGAGCCTGTGTGCTGCTCATTGCTGGAGGTCCATTGCAGCTGCATACCAGCTTTCAGCAATTATGCCTTCCCTCAAAAGAATGGCTTTAAGTGGGGATTGAGGAGAGCGCAGCAGCACATATGTTGAAGTGCCTCATTACTTGTCCTCTGTGTGAGTGTGTGAGAGAGCACGTGTGAGACGCAGGAGGATATGGAGTCACAGGACACTGTCACGTACTCCATAATTAACCCCACATCTGAGGGATTATGAATGGCTCATCTCTACAAATAGTCTTGGAAAGTCATATGATTTGCTGCCCTTCTGAGCCATTGATAAACTCTTGCCTTGTGATCTTGGTTAAAGACACTTTTCATACACACATCAGCAGCTTTTATGGCTGGAATACACTGCACAACTATGGCACCAATTCTTTGCTCAGATTTGCAATCTGAACGAGTTGGCACTGGTTGGCAAAAGTTATATCAAGTGATCAGTTGGAGATGACAGTTTTAAGGTCTATTTTTTAAATACTTTATAGAATTTCTTTTTAAATATTTGCACAAAAAAAAAAAATTGCACAAAACAGAAAAACAAGCGTTCAACAACAACAAAATTATAAACAAACATCCCCAACACTCATTTGCCTTTTGCGGCTTTAACAGATGAGACACATAGCTAGCAGTCTGTAAACATTAAAGTCTTCAAACGTCACACAAATGCACAGCAAGTGACAAATAAATAAATAAATGTGAAAAAGGAAAATGCAAAAAGATAAACGATATGCATCGATCTTTTGTAATTGTATGAGATTAAATATTCTCCTGCTATAAGTCTTGTAAACCGTCAATGTTTGAAAAAAAGGAAGTTTATTTTTTGAACCTTTGAGAGTAAATTTTTTTTTTTTTTTTTCAAGCTGCATAAAATGTCGCATCTTTGATCCATCTACTGTGTTGGGGGCTCAGTTTTTTTCTAATAGAGAAGAATTAAGTGCTTTGCCGATAACGTGGTAAAAGCAATTACTCTACATATATTGTCTTTAAGCGCAATACTTTCAGGGCAGGTTCCGAAAATTGCCAACAGGGGTTCAGGTTCAATATAAAAACCATACATATTACTTTTAAGGGCCATTTTAAACAAATGTTTAATTTCATGTTTAACTATTCTGCCTTATTGAAAATTGGGCTTTATAGTGGAATGTTTTATTATAATTTCAGCATAATCTACAAAAACTGGATTTAGTTATCTCTGTGGATCTCTGTGAATGGAAATCATTTTGTCTATGTTGTAAAACAATACAAAAAACAGTTTTCTGTTCACGTTTACACAACAGTTGACAAATTATGGAGGGAAACAACAGTCAAAAGGATTTCTGTTCACATGGGTTCACTAAAAGATCACGTGACATCAGCTTTCATAAAATGACATTTTGGTACTTTAGAAGCAGACAAAAGCTCTGGGTTTCAATTAGGCATATTTTCAATTCATTATTTTAATTGGCTCATTTTGAAAGGTAATAACGCAATTATAATGTAAAACAGTGAGAGAAATAAAAACATTTGTGTCCGTGACCACAAATCTTGTTTAACGGGTGTATTTTTTGGAAATAGCCAAAAATCTATTGGATGAGTCCAAATGATCAATTTTACTTTTATGCCATAAAACATTTGAATATTAAGCAAAGATCATGTTTTATCAAGATATTTTGAAGGTGTATTAAGATATCTTTATTAACACATTTGATTCATTTAGTATATCATAACATTTTGATTGCTAATAGGGATTTTTAAGCACATAATTTGGACTTTTCAGTTTTCAGATTCTTCGTAATCTGCGAATTTTAAAAATGGCTTTATCTAACTGTCCTAACAAACTGTACATCAACAGAAAGCTTTTTTTTAGATGATGTTTATATCTCTGTTTACAAAACAAAAGTACTCTTAAGACCCTTGGTTTTGTGGTCTACACTCTCAGAAATAAAGGTACTTGAGCTGTTACTGGGGTGGTACCTTTTCAAAAGGTACAAATTTGTACCTAAAAGGTCCATATTAAAACCTTAAAGGTACATATTAGTACCTAAAAAATACAAAAGTGTTCCTCTTACATTTTTGTTAGGTACTAATATATACTTTTGAGGTACAAATATAGACTCTTTAAGATCAAATGTGTAACTTTTAAAAAGGTATCACCCCAGTGACAGCTCAAGTACCTTTATTTCTGAGAGAGTAGGGTCACATTTTACTGGGTCTAAAATGTCTTAAAGTCCAAAAGTAAAATTTTAGGCCTTAGTCCTTAACTTACTGAAAGTTTGTATTTTAGGTCTTACAACAAGTCTTAATTTCCTTTGTTCATGTACAGTATAGCTACCCAATCTGGCCAAAACCCATACAATCACCAACAATCATCTAATTAAAACTTTCAACTTTTATTCAAAAAGGTCATTTGAACTCTATTTATCATAATGTTTAAACGTGCTCCGTGTATTTACTGCTGAGGACACTGACCTGGACAGGTTGTTGTGTATAGATTTAGTTTATTAAAGTTTTTAAAACTTAAAAACTTTTTTTCTTTTAAAGAAAGTTTATGTTGGAAACAGTCTATGGATATAAATAGAGCTTGCTTGTTCTTTACATAATATTCAAAATATTTTGCCAGGAAATATCTAAAATATTTTATTATTAAATTATTATTGTATTGTTAAATGTATTAAATTATAATGTTTTTTTGAAAGGGCAAATAAAAATCTTTTCCATCTGGGCGATTTGAAATGTCTTAAATTTAACTTGATGGAGCTGCAGAAACCCTGATTTTAGCTGCATATCAATGGTTATTGGAAATGAAACCATGTTTAATCCTCATTTGCAAAATAACCAAAATCTTTTGTAAATGTGGAATGTAAACGAGACAAGAACATGTATTCCTTAACTTGTACTTTCAAAAACAGTTTTCAACAGGTTTTCAGCCCCCCTAAAATGGCATTGTTGTGCAAATGAATGTCCAAAAGCCACACCGTTTTTAAAGTTGGTGTTGTGTAAACACCCCCTATAGGGCTTTATGATGTAAACACATTCTTAGCCTCAGACTGAAACCGTCAATTCATAACAAATAACATTTCACTAGAGTTATCTATCATTTGGGGATGAGGCCCATGAATTTGTTTCTATGGAAAGTCTTGAACGGCTGGAAGTATGTGGTGATCCTCGGGCCAATGTTGCAAGCTAACAACACTGCAAAATTTATTGTTCTTGGTTATCTAATGTCAGTCAAAAAGCAAACAACAGATAACCAATAAATTACTATTTGCGTCAAATATCTATTACTCTCAAGTGTATTTTTTGAAGTAGCATTTACTTCATGATTGTTGATTTAAACTTTTTTACATGTATGCAGTGTGTTGCAATTTGAACTGTAATGTAGCATACTTGTGAAATGATCTTCATGTTATCATTGTTTTCCCCCCCAGGCGTGTTCATCTGATGAGCCTGCTGTGTTCTAGCACCACCATGAAGGACCGTGACTCTCTCTCCCTCCTGCACTACTCTGGATCCGGCAAGACCAGTCCTCAGTTCCCCTCTGCGTCCCTCCATTCTAGTTCCCCGGTATTGGCCAAACCCCAGCCTTTCTGCCTACAGTCCGGCCCACACCTCATAGCCTCCATGCAGCTTCAGAAACTCAACAGCCACTACCAGAATCTGACCTCCACAGCCACAACTGGGCCCGGCCGAGGGTACACCGCCTCCATGTTAAGCCCAGGACAGATCTCTAGTCCTGGGGCGGCGCAAGCATCCGGCATCATCGATTCGGACCCAGTGGATGAGGAGGTTTTGATGTCACTGGTGGTGGAGCTGGGTTTGGATCGTGCCAATGAGCTTCCAGAGCTGTGGTTGGGTCAGAATGAGTTTGACTTCATTGCGGACGTGCCTGCTGGCTGCTGACCAAATCTTCATTAGAAATCCAAAGCGTCCATTGAATGGCAATTGAGTTTGTCAATGAACACTGTCAGATTTGAACAGTCAAGAGCTGTTAGTTACGAGGACGGACTTCTGTAGGTTTGCCGTTATGTGAGGCTTTCTGCTCATGGAGGAGAAGAGGACTGGGCACGCATACAACAAAAGGCCAACATGTTTGAGAAGACATTTTCCCTGCCTTATCTATACTTCCAAAGCTTATTCACATCCTTTAAGCCACATAAATGATACGTGGAATGGATTTGCCACCTCAAAGAGAAGTTGAAGGACAAGCAGAAAATGTGGTTTGTAGAGAACAAAGGATTTGGGCCGCCGGTTGTTCTGGCTGTCCGGACTGGTGGTGTTAGATGACTGTAATGGGAGGTTATGGTGAAACTGGTGCGCTCCGTCGAGCCCCTTCATCATTGGAGAGACTCCCTGGAGAAGCCATGTCACCACAAAGCCTTGCTGGCCACAGAGGAACTCGACCTGGCTGAACGTTTTCCATGGTTAAATAAATTAATGAGACGTGTCTGTTTACCCCATAACTCAGCCTGCGTGGTCTGATAGCCTTATTTTTAAATTTGTGGATATTTCTTTAATGCACTTACAATGGTAATGTTCATCGCCCTCAAACGTACTGTCTACAGCCTTTTTTTATTTTCCTCAAAATTGACATTTACTTCAGTTCTGTTCTGTTTGTAGGCTTTATGAGTAAACGAGTTAATTGTAGTGTAGCTCTATGCAGGCCTTGTCCAAAATCCACAAATATGTTAGACATTGTGCATGCTTAAGGTTCATTCGATTACCCATTGAAAGAAGACCTTCTTTCAGATATTTTCTGTCATTTCACTTCACTGTTTTTGAACTTTGTGACTTATAAAACTTAATCAAAGATGTTTTTGCTTTAGCACTTTTCTTTTGTTTTATTTTTCTACATAAAAGAGAGTTATTCCCTATTCTATTTAAAAGTGTGTACGTTTCAGTTTTTTTTCTGAATGTGAGAAAATAAAGTAACAAAGCACAACACTGTCTTTTTCTTTCTAATAAAAACCAAACGATTTTACACTTCGGTTAGCACTGAGCAATGCATTTTTGACAGTATTTGTGTTGTCATGTTAGACAAACATTTAAGTTGTTCCATTGCTTGATGATGTTAATAATGAATAAATTTATTTAAAGGTTATATTTGTTAATGTTAAATTGAACGTTAACTAAGATTAGCTATAGTATTTTTCATGTTAAAAAGTGGGACTAAATGCTTGAATTGAATTAAACATTTAACAAAACTTGCAGAGCTTAAAGAAAAGATGAATTGATCAAAACGTAAACACATTTTTACATTTTATATCAAAATAAATAAAAAAGAAAAAAAGTATTGTTAAATTAGAAACAAACGAGTTCAAATGGTAAAAAATGCTACTTTACAGGGGCTAAGCTAAACTTTAGCCGAACACTGAGCTAGAGCTGCCGCTGCGCTACAGTGGAAGATGATTAACTGGGTAGTACTGTCATCTAGTGGGCAAACTAATTATATACACCTTAACTTGATTAGTTTGGTTTTGGAAAAGGAAAATCAAAAAGTAAACATCACAGCCCAAGTTTATTTTCAAGACAACTATGTCACAGAATGGTTAACGAAGCTAAGATGCCAAAAGCATATTTCGATGTAGTCATTTAGAGGTCTATAGAATATTATGAAATGACATTTTGTTTTTTTTACCTGTTCTCCATTACCATGGACTATATTGCATTCCTTCTTGACCCCTGGGCTGTGAGTTTTATTCGCTATTGGCATATCAAATAGAAGCACTTCAAATCATCATTCAGTTGTTGTAACTACTCGTGTTACTATTTACATTCACTGCCTTCTGTTTACAGTTATTTTATTATAAACTCATTTGTTTAATTCAAATATTTAAAATGAAAAATGTTTCCATGTGAAATGCTGCTATAACAATAACAATTTGGATATATATTATACGAATGTTTTCTTTTCTACTTAGTTAATAATATATCAGTTGTTTTCATCTCACTTGCTGTTTGTGCTCAACACAAAAATCACAAACAAAAAATACATTTACATTTTTTAAATGTATTTTTTAATTATTATTTATTCATTTTTTTACTAACAAGAACCAGCATGTAAAGTTTTCTTATACAATAAAATCACTTTACATTTCTTTACAAGAATGAATTAAAAGAAAAAAAAAAGAAATTAAAGGAGAAGAAAAAAACAGAGAGGAGAGGGTACATAATTATCAAATTCCATACAAATATATTACACACATTTACCAATTTTAGTTATAAACAAGAGTTATAAATGCACTTTTGCTACAGGAAATGAATATATACAAACATTTTTATGTAAAAATATTAAAGTAGGAGCATATTTTAATTGTTTTAATTGCTTTTCTATTTTTAGACTTGGAAATCACTTTTATGTTCTTTTGAATCTCTTTTTCTAGCACCATGAACAGAGGTTTGCTTTTGGCAATCTTGAATTTATGTATGTGAAATTTATATAATAATAAAATAAAGTTTATAATAAAACCAGCAATTACTTATTATACCTAGATATAGTTAAAATAAAAAAATAAAAAACTTAAAATGATCAAAATCAAAGTGTTTTTTCAATCCAACTCCACCAGACTCGTGTTCTACACATCCCCAACATTTAATGAAAATTAACACAGTGCATGGGGGGACCCCAAATAACACTGTGCATTTTAATATAATTTTACTGTCAATCAATTCCATCAAAATTTCAACATTGACATTAAAAAAGTTTTCATCAAAATAGCGAAACCCTTTTAAAGTTTTTTTTTTCTTTTCTTCAGATGACTGAGGAACAGCTTTTTCCCCAGAGCTGTCTCCCTCCTGAACTCAGCCCCACACTGACTCTTTTGCCCCCCCAATACACCCCCCACTCTCCTCTAACTTAAACTCCTCGCAATAACTGCACTGTTTAACATTTGCACATTCACTGCACCACATTGAACTGTTTACTTATTGAACTGTACATACCCACTGCATATGGGCATTTGTAATTATGTACACACCCACTATACATATACACTTGTAATCATGCTTATTTATCTGCATACTACTGACTATTAATAGCAACCTGCACATATATTCATATATTGTAACATATACACTTGTAATCATGTTTATCTATCTGCACACTACTGATTATTAATAGCAACCTGCACATATATTCATATATTGTAAATCTGTTCATAGCTTATCCAACCTGTATATAATGTTCATAGTACATCCATCTGTAAATATCACCATAGTTTTCTATAACTGCACTTCATAACTTATTCCTGTATCCTGCACTTGCTGCTATTGCACTGCTGGTTAGACCTAAACTGCATTTCGTTGCATTGTACTTGTACATGTGTAATGACAATAAAGTTGAATCTAATCTAATCTAATCTAAATGGCTTGTATTTTATACCATAGTTTTTTTATAATGGCACTTTATAACAATATCCTGCTCTTGCTGCTAATCTAATCTAATGCAATCTAATCTAATCTAATCTAATCTAAAGGGAAGATGCAGATTTACTCACTGATTGCAAACATTCATGATTTTCGTAAATTTCTTCTGTTGTAAATAAAAGAAGTTATTTTGAAGAACGCGTGAAAAGCTGTAATTATTGACTTCCATAGAATGAAAAACAAATACTATGAACATTGATGTTACAGGTTTCCAACATTTTTCAAAATATCTTCTTTCATATCCAACAACAAAATAAAGAAACCCATATAGGTTTGACACAAGGAACGGGCCAGTAGGCCTAAATGATGACAGAATTGTCGTTTTGCGTGAACCATCCATTTAAATGTAGTTCCAGACTGAAATGTCTCCACTGAAAGAAACTTGCAGTGACCGAACCGCTGCTGTTTTTGCAGTGTGACTACAGCCCTCGCCACCTGATGGCACGCGCTCGTACGGCTTATAGAGAAAACTCCGACTGTCCTTCTTCGGCTCCGGTAGTTCAGCTTATCTTCCGCTGACAGGAAGTGGCTGGTCCTTTTCCGCAGACTCCAACATGGTGAGTGCATTTCATTCACGATACCCTCCCTAAATAATCCACAATCATCAACGTTTTAAAAGATCAGCTTTCTCCAATTAGCTCAAAATGTTGCACATTCACCCCATCTAAGTTGAACAACACACACATTTTGATGAAAAAGAGAAGATGTGATGATTAAAATGTTAAAGGAAAACGCTTAGCTCCGCCGCTGTCTGACACTAGCGGCAAAGCAGACTCGCGCTTCTCGATCATGTGAAATGTCGTTTTAAGTATGGTTCGGCGGTCTTATATGTAATTTGTTCAATAGAGAGTTGGATTTATACAATAAGTGCTTATTTAAAAATGGCATAACTTCAGTAGTTTTTAAGTCGCTAGGAGAAGCTAACGCTAAAGGCCTCGCCGTACTATCTTTGAGGTCTGCTGGGATTTATATGTTAATAAATGTATACAGACTGCACATGTTGTTACTTTGAGCTGACAGATGTTTATGTTGTTCAGGCCCGAGGACCGAAGAAGCACCTGAAGCGTGTCGCAGCTCCTAAACATTGGATGCTGGACAAACTCACCGGAGTGTTCGTAAGTAACGTTAAAGGGTTCCCCCCCCATAACGTTAGGTGTGCTTAGTTATGCTTAACGTTACGTGTAAAAAAAGTGAACAGCACTTCACTGAAGGCATCACTGTTTAAGTAAACATTCACTCATTTGGGATTTAAATGTGTTTTAGTGTTATGTATGAAGCCATGCTGGGCTTATGACAAGTTCAAGTATCCACATGACATGTAATAACCTTATTGTTCAGTGTTATTATATTGCCTGGTGGTTAGGAAAGTAAAACCTCTACTTTTTACCTAATTTCGATGTATCTGATGAAAGTGGGTTGATTATTAGTTTTTTAAATGTTTGTTTCTGTAGGCTCCTCGTCCCTCCACTGGTCCCCACAAACTGAGGGAGTGCCTGCCCCTCATCATCTTCCTAAGGAACCGTCTCAAGTACGCTCTGACTGGAGATGAGGTCAAGAAGATCTGCATGCAGAGGTTCATCAAGATCGATGGCAAGGTCCGCACTGACATCACCTACCCCA